ATACTGTATTGTTGAGAAGACAGTTGGGAAAAGACACTACTACATTTAGCTATAACAGTACTATATTTGTAATATCCCTCGAAGAGTAGAAAACCGAACTTCCAACATTTCACGACATTTAATGAGATTTGAATCTTTAAGAAATCAGTAATCATTTTTCGAAATAAAATTAGTTGAAATAGTACAAAGAACAAATCCTAGTTCCTCGCCTACATTCGGAACTAATAAAACCCCATGGTTGTAAGTTAACATGATAGTTGCTTATGAATCAGCAAACAAATTATCAGTGAAGTATAATTCATAGTGAATACGTAATTCGTAAGTATCCAAAGATAAATAAAAAAGAAAATTTAAATGGACCAACTTATCGCCAGTTAAGTCAACTACACAGTAAAAGGATTTTGTAGAAATCAATGAGTTTTGTAGATAACATCATGGACTGGTTTTAGTTAGACAACCAATGAAAATTAGGAAACATTTTAGAAACTCTTTCATCCTCAGTGACAGTGCGCATACATGATCCTGAAACACAGGATCGAACCCATGACTTCCAGGTATTGTAGAAGCAGCTTGATCTCCAGCATCCAATATTCTACATATCTAATATCAAATAAATTAAAAGAAATCGACAAGCATACTACAGAATGAAATCTAATGAAGATGGTGGGTTATCAGTGAACAAACTAATAACCAAAGGTAGATATACTGAAAATTACCAGTAAAAACATTTAAAATCAACTATCTACTCGGTAAAGTTATTTACAGGACAAGTTAAAGTAATGAACACTAAGATTACTGAAGAGGGTACATAAAATTCTCAGTAGAAATATTAAATCCTTTGATGAGGCTATAAATCTTTGGTGATTGAAGTAGTTGTGACATATGATACATACTCTCGATCATCGACAAAACCAATCCGCTGTGTTGGCTAACACAGACTGTAAACTAAAAAAAGGAATAGGGATGGCTAGACAGAAAACATTGAAATTTTATGATCAACTACAGATTAGTGGTTATTGTTACAAGATATACGACCATACTCAATGTACTAGCGGCAAGTGTAAATATAAAAGAACTGTTTGAAACAAGAAAATACACCTGACAATGAATATGATTTCTAAGTGGTAGAGACGGTATGGCACAAATGTGCTAATATCACAAATATTTATCATTTCCAATAACATACTTAAAATATATTCGGCTATATACTCTTTTCATCCCATTCTAAACATGATTATATCATGGTACTATTCCATTGCAAAGTGGATAACTTACATGGGTAAACCAGTCTAAAGAGCGATTTTTCAGTATCCTCTGTGTGAAACGTCTGAACTTCTTATTGTTGTAAGTGTCATGAGCGTTTCATATAAGATGATAATTTTATTAAAATATTTAGTGTACAAACGTATTTTTTTTTATAGTTTAGGTCGAAAACGCGTTTTTAGCGCATTAACTAACTAAACGAATGAACCATATTGATATTGGTGTACGGTTAGCCTTGATAAGAATACAGAGAATTTGTTCATTGCATAATCCTTAAGTTTTATCATAATAACAAAATAAAGAGCTGTGACCAATGGAGTTCAACTGTGTCAGCTGAGAAAGGTACCTAATGAAAACAATAGATGGTTGGATTGAAGTCGGACAAATATACTAACGGATATCGATCGACTCAGAGGTTAAGCGTTGGGTATTGGGTTCAATTCCCAGTAGAAGGGTCATGGATGTATACTACCACAAATGAGTTCTACATATGAACAGAACGGCTGTCTAGCATTTCCTAGTTTCTAATGGTTGTACCTAACTTATGTAAGTTCGTGATCTCAATGACATTCAATGTTTTTCACAACCTCCATATTGAAAAAAAACAAACACCGAGAATAAATAATGATAAAGATTCAATTTTTATATTCAACTATCCTTGTAAACATACTCGAAAAATATCTGATACGAAGAGTCATGAGGTCAACACCAACAATACAAACTATTTACATGGATGATTTGTATGTACTTATGTATAGATTATGTGTAAATAAACAATCTCATATTTCTAGAATGGGTTTTGTGGAGAATTGGTAATTTCAATAGTTGAAATCATGAATCAATTGAAGCTAGACCACCATGGAAAACCTGGAAGCACTGGACGGCCGTTTCGTCCTAGTATGGGACTCCTCAGCAGTGCGCATCCACGATCCCGCGCCCCACGGGATTCGAACCCAGGACATATCAGTCTCGCGCCAGTCCTGGGTTCGAATCCCGTGGGGCGCGGGATCGTGGATGCGCACTGCTGAGGAGTCCCATACTAGGACGAAACGGCCGTCCAGTGCTTCCAGGTTTTCCATGGTGGTCTAGCTTCAATTGATTCATGATTTCAACTATTGAAATCTCATATTTATAATGCCTAATTAAATACGAAATGGTGTTTAAACACATGCTAATAGAATGACTGATAATTGAATCTTTAAAATATAACAATCCTATTTCAATTATAAGATAATGGATATACAATTCATATATTGAAAGAAAAAACCCGACGTTTCATAAAAACAAAACTCTATCAGGAGTACTATGAGAGCGAGTAGAGATACCGGATATAATGTGTTGAAATGAGGAGTAAACATTTGACACAATTGTATTTACTACAGAGAAGATAATCAATTAAAAATGTGATCATTTCTATATTTAGGGATTAAAATCTGTAATGTTTTTAGCGAACAAGCCAAATTTATCATAAGTCAATTTCATATAATATCAACACATTTCCTACTTAGAGTATGATTTAAAAAAAGGATTGTAACCATTGATTAATAGAAACCAAGAAAAGAATTATCTATAAATAGAAGAGATTCATATTACATATAAAGCGATGAGATAACTATTTACTGAATAGTCGTAAGCATTAATTATTGATTCATTAATTTTAACATTTGCAATTGTAATTTTACAGTGTTATCCCTTTAGTTACCAGATATAACAGATTAGTGTGTTTACCTTTAACTGTAAAGGGCTAATAATTCAACACAACCAAGTTCCTGAAATCAAAGTTGATGAAGTGAAAGTTTAAACCTTAATATTATTGTTTTGAAAGTTAAACACTGATTTACAGTACATAGTTCACTATAACAATTATTAATAACCAAAAGCTAGATAATCAATGATGGATAGTGGCTAGCAGTATAATTCAGGATGCGCGTTTCGTCCTATTCGGAACTCGTCAGCTGGATGTACCTGCATCTCAGAGTTGATATCCACTCTGGGACTCGAACTCAGTACCATTCGCTTCAAACGCCATCGCATTATCCATTCAGCTACTGAGTTCTGATAGCCACTTGCTTGTGCAATGGGGAAGATACAAGCCATACAATACCAAGTCAAAAGCTAGATATTTGTTAGTAATCATAATCATAATAATAATAATAAAAGCAACACTGAATATACAAAATCACTCGACTATGATAATTTCCTGTTTTTTCTAAAACTCCTCATTTCAGTGTTAGTTATTGGACTCATAAAAATATACTTCAGTAAAAAATATGTTGGGATTAAAACAGATACATTTGTTATACTGAATCTTTTCTTAACTAGAAATATACGTTAATATATATATATATATATATATTCAAGTATAAATTCTCTGTTTAATTGAATGTATAGTGTTAACTAGTAGATTTTACCTGATATCGAGAAAATATATGTGTTTTTTTTAATGTGGAATTTAGTTGGAATGAAATATGTTGTCATGTGTATAGATGAATATATAAACCTGTATAAAGAAAGGGTATACCACTCATTCACATGTATACCACACTACAAATTAGATTTATATACATAGTGCGCTTGTATTCCAAGTAGAAACTATGTAATTAATTGCTGTAAGAAAAAAATGAACATGCTCCAAATACAATACGCCATTGTACCTTTCAGTTGTACATGCAACTCATTAGATACTATGATGAAACTTTTCGTTTATTTTGTTCAGTTTTCTTTTTATTACGATTTCTGATTATAATGAAATAAAGCTAAGTTAATTAGTTAGTTAAGTACCACGAAGACAATGAATCATAAATGGTAGTTAGAAACAAGGAATTATTAAAATTACACACATAAAAAAAACACTTTTTTAATTTATGAAAATGGATAGTGAATATCCGTATGTGTGATATAAATGTATATGCAGATGTGTGTGTGTGTGACAGGGAGAGAAATAGAACGAAAATAGAGCAAGAATACACAGAACACAAGATCCAAAGAGAACAGTACAAAAGACAACAACAACAAACCATTAATAAGTGAGAGGAAGAAGAGTGTAGAAAGATTGCTAACAGAAAGATAGACTTCATTTCCCCATTACTATTATTAACAACAAAGATAAAACAGATATGATACATAGGTGAATATATAAAGGCTTATGGAGCAAGGGAGATACTTAATTAAAGAAAACAGTAGTAATAATAATTGTGTTGATAGATAATAACGACAATTGACAATAGCATGTAATGGTAAACACGCACGTACGCACGCACATACACTTACACACACACACACACACGAATGATCCTAAAACTATAAATTACAAATTAGTCAATAAGAAGTATACTAAGTGAATACAAACATTTGAGTAAAATTTAGATACAGAGTTTAGTTGTTTATTATTTCAAAGTGAATAGTTATGTTCATCTCCGACAGTTTGCATTTATACACTGATGATGATGATATACAAACTTTATTTATATATCATTATTAGATACACTGTTTTATACACAGAAATAATTTAGATAAGAGGCTATTTAATAAGTCAATATTGTTTATGAACACAATCTTCATATGATAGATAATATAAATACATATCTATATGTGTATAGACACAGAGAGAGGGAGAGGGAGAGAGAGAGTAAACCTTTAGAATATTATAAATATCATTATATTGGTAACTGTGCATGAAAAATAGTAATAATAATAATAATAACAATAACAATAATGAAAGGAGACCAGTTAAAAATTTACACACCTAATAAATCATACAATTCTTCATCTTTCGAAGGCATTTTCGCAGTATTCAACATTTTGGTCAATAATGGAGGTGTATGAATAGTAGTAGCAGTAGTAGTAGTAGTAGTAGTAGTGCTAATGGGTGTAGTAATAATTGAAGAGGATACTTTTTCTACAATATTGAATTCATTATCAATGGAAGTTGGTGATGGTAATGGTGAAGTGACTGGATGACATGATTTGATTGGAGAACCAGATGCTTTAACTGCAGCTAATTTATCCGCTATTAATTTACGCTTAGCTAAAAGAACTGGTAATAGACTGGATGATGATGATGATGATGATGTAACTGTAGAAGACAAAGTGGAGGCCGACGATGTCAATGAGGTTATACTCGTTAATTTCGGCTGAATGTGATGAGATTGTGTTGTAGGTGTCACTTCTGATTTACCTACAGTGATTACAGGGTTTGAATTAGATGACTTAACAGATTTTTGTGAACTAGCTGCCGACATAAACAATTGTATACGTGAATCAAGATCTAGATGGTCAACACTAGGGGATGCCTTTGCTTCAAGTTGGTCAGACGGACCAACAGAGCCAAAAGATAATGATGGTGGGGGCGGCGGAGGCGGGGGTGGAGATCCTAAACTGGCTGGATTTGAATAATTTATTGCGCCTGCCTCGTAAGCGGCCACTTGTTCGACACGTGACACAACTGATTCTTCATCTTCTTCATCATGCATATGGGCAGTGGCGGCAGCGACGGCCGATGCTCTAATTATTCGACCTCCTGTAGATCTTATAGAGGAATTGGTTACATGATTAGATATAGATTTATATGGTGTATCAGACCGTGTAGATGAAACGGCTGCGGCAGCCATTCGTTCTTCTGTTGCACGTATTCGTGATAAGACATCATCGACTTTTGCTTCTAAATCAGCTGTTAAATTTTCAGGTTCAATTGTAATAGTAGTAATAGTAGTATCGGTAGTAGTGGTAGTGGTATGATTCGATGTTGATTCAGAACTATTATTTGGATTTGTATTATTTTGTAGTGTTTGTTTATTATCAACATCAGAGGAAGAAGGCAGTGAATCAGTTTTTGAAGTATTTTCTATTACAGGATCTTGAACGGAATGAATACGATTTTGATGAGATGCAATAAGTGCCTGTGCTTGAGAGAGCTATAAAAGGAATGAATAAATCATGTTGTAATTTTATTAATTTAACATTAGAATAATGAAAAATACTTTGATATAACAGTAATTATGTAGCAGTTTGGGGTTATTAATCTCTGTAAGATTAGAATCTGCGTCATTGAGCATCACAGTCTAAGACGCTATGAATGACTTATTTTTGATATCTTGAAAAAGAAAGTTGGAAAACAAAGACTTACTATAAAACCGAATTGAGGAGTAATAGGGAATTAAGATGACAATGGTTGAGATGAGTTAACTGGTAACAAATAATTATCGCCAACGGAAAATTAGACGGATATAAAAAAAGTGATAATGCCCCAGGATCAACTGAAAGACTTAAAAATAAATGCACATTTTATTATTCAAATCGCCGAATGCAGAATATTTGTTATCGCCTTCCAAAAGAAGAATCAATGGAATATTTCTTGGATTAACTACTAATAAGAACAATTAGGTAACTGGTTTGTTACAGGATGATAATAATAGTGTATAATACGTTCTTTGCAGTAACCATAGGGGGAAGTGGTTAGTAATTTATAGTTTACCATATTTTAGTAATAAAAGGATAAACGCTTGCGGAGTTAGGTATTATTATTATTATTATTATTTTAACACATAGATATCAGTACAAAGAGGCACCGAATACATATGCGCCACACAGATCTCATTGGATATGTGTGAGGGCTGTGATACTGCCCGGGTTCCCAGACCGAAGCAGGAGTTAGGTATATATAGGTAATTCGATGCGCGCTCTTTTTGTAGGAAATTGAGAACATTATTCAATTTGGTTGAAAAGCGGAAACTTTATAATCGAACCTCACGAGAGAACACAGGTCATTCAATTAAAAACAGGCTAAGCATTCAAAGTCATTTTACAAGGTGAATAGAAACTTGACCAAAAATAGATAGCTACCATCCCCTTACCATTGTCAGGAGCTTTTGCTATACATTATCTAGAAAAGGCAGGAATGAGTATGCGAAAAAACTTAACCAACCCATTTTTCTACTATAATCTGAACATTTGGTTCTTCAATATCATTACTTTCACCATTTCCCTTTTACCTCTATCTTATTTTTGTTTTCATGCCCTCTACCACTCTATTTCTGATTATACCTTACAATAACGTCAAATATTTCATTTGATCATGTTACGTAACTGATATAATAATTTAAGTATTTATAATCCGCATATTTAGTTTCTTATTGTTTTTGCTTATTATCCTCAGCAAATTAACTTATTTAGAAGCTAAACGAATTATTGATTTCGAACAAAATAGATATAAGTGAATAATATTGTTTTCGACTAGATCTTCATCAGGCTTTATTGTAATATACAATAATATTTATATGCATATACGGTTCAATTATCTGAATACTTCTTATTACGTAATCTTATAATTTTTATAAATGTTATTTCAGTGTCTATATTTTTTCCAAATCATTGACCTATTTCGCATTATGCAATATTGATTCAAGCCTTTAATATTCTTGTTACAACTAGTACACTTGTCATCATACAACAAATAGCTTGAAGAAACTAACTTCTGGTCTGAGCCATGTTTGTAGACGCAGACTACTTAGTTGGGGTCCGCGTGACTATCACAACCAATGGTTGGAGACTCTGCGTCACACGGCTCACAATCGATCATAATGGCGTAGGTGTATACAAACTCTGTCTCCACTTAAACCATGAGATTAAAATCATTTCATATCTTTCTTTCTACGAACTAATTCTTTATTCATGTAATATGTCGTTATATGCAATCTTTCTTTTATATATTACCACCATTAACTTAACCACTCCTATGATCCCGGTGTTTATCTTGCTGCGCTAATGCGGTATGGCAACTTGGACCGATGCATATATGTGCCTTGTCCTACGTTGTAGCTGACTGACTGATACTACAAATTTGTACTTATCACTTATTTGTGTAATCTATTCCATTGTTATCATTAACTACCTTGATTGGTTTAATAATTTCGTATAGACATAGAAATATTACTGTATATTAGAGTAAAGCCTTATATATATTGTTCTAAATCACAATATGGAAAATTTTTAAATTATTTGATAAAAGTATTGTACAGAAACGAGCCAGTCGTAATGAAAAACTTACATAGTTTTGCCCGAATTTCGAATAACAAGTATAACAAGCAGTTAAAATAAGATGGTGCATCGCTCAAAAATATGGCGAAACTATAATTTATGAACGAACCAATCAGATATAAGATAACAGGTCTTGGATTTTGGCGCGAAATTTACTCATTCATTTGGATAAATAATGTTTACGCATTATAACTGATGTAAGTTCGTGATGAAAACCTTAAATCTAATTCTTAATCTTAACCATCAACTGTAAATCATAATTTTAATTCCTCACACAGGTTTATAACCATCATTTGGTTCTGGTTATTAGCTGGACACTTTCAAGGTCAATCTGGCGTCATTGAAAGGTCGTTCATAAATTATAGTCTCATCCAATATGTTTCAAATGATTGTGCAACAATATTTTTCATCAAACAGTAAAAATACTGTTAAACGTAGCAAATGTTCAACACTACCATTAAAACTTCATCTTAGACTCTGAATCTTGAGACAAATCTTATGCAGTGACATTATATTTTATGGATGAACTATATATGTAACATCTCCTGATAATATCAGTTCATGAAGAAAAACTGTCAACCCTAAACAGGAACAATAATGGATGACTCTGAAAAATCTATATAGATCGTTTTAATGGTTCGATAAGATAGACAGTCTAAATCCATAATAAGTTTATATATCGTTATACATTTTTTTTTCATTTACAGACAGATTAATCTGTAGAATATTTTAATAGATTCATTAAAATCAGTATACAACTTGAAATCTTTTTATTCTCGTTTCATTAACTATCCATTAACAATGGTTATTTCTTAATTGACTGTATAAAAAGTAGTCACATCTGTTCTAAGTTCATCCCTATACTACATACACACTTGAAGATAGTTTCTATGAAAATATGTATAGTTTTAAAATTACATAACAACTCATAAGATGAGATTGTATAAGAATCTTTCTTGTATTTCATTAGATATGTACGTATCTATAATAAATTGATCTTAGAAAAAGCTTAAATTCTTATTCGATTTGAATTCTTGTTCGAAGAAACTAGTACAAATGTTAAATAGTTATGCCTTATTAGTATTTTATCATATGACGAGATCGATTGATAAGTATTGTTTACATTGCCAATATGAGAGCCCAAATAATCTAGTTTGTTTGGTTATTTCCATAATACTATAATTATATTATTATTATTATTATTTTCAGACTGCTTTGCCATAAGGTCATTTAAATGTTACTATGTCAACAGAGTTGTACCTTTACAACTTTCCACTTTTTTTTGTTTGGAATATAAATTCTATACTGAAAGTCCTATCTCTTCTGTTTTATATTATTAGTATTTTATTATTACCAACAAAGTGTTGTTATGTGTTAGATGTTCAGTTGATTTGACTTCCTATACATTAGATTACATTGGGGAAAATGATCAGTTGTTCTTAAATACAACTAATAAATCAATGCAAACCTTTTAACACATAAAGTCATTTTCTTAGCAAGGATTATTATAGTGATATTTTTGGAAGAAGAAGAAGAAAAAGAATATACTACATTTATATACCTCTTCTTTGGTAGTATTCGCCTGTAAAGATTGAAAAAATTGAAATGTTGTTTGAGCAGCTTCACGAACTTCATTTGATAGTTTATACCGTCGACACTATAATAAATATTGAGAATAGAAGAAATTTGATGAATGATTGATTGTAGAATATCACTGAATTAAATATCTTTATTAATAAGAGTAGAACAAAAGGAGTTTGTAGTAATGATGTGAGTTGAAACTCATAGGATTTTAATTAGCTCTAGTGAACTTTAGCATTAATATATTTGAATTCAGTTTATTTATACGACTGTGAATGGAGATTTGGCTATAAACACTTTACAATATATTGAAGGGTAATGAATTTGAGAAATAATAATAATAGGAAGTTATTTAATCTTCCAAGGGCGATATTAATTGATTGATGAAAGCTTCATTTATAGATGTTCACAATGAACACTTGCATCCATGAACATTTTGGTCCGTTCAGGTGGTTGGAACATGTATTTCATATGCCCAACTACCACCTAACTCGACGGGTGATGTTGTTTGGTGTAGAAACAAATTAGAAGAAAGTTAGGGGGCGGTTAAACTAAGACATCGAATTGACTCATGAAGATATTAACTTCTGGATTAAATCATGTAAATAGATGCAAACAACCTGCTTGGGGTATGTGTGATTTTAGGTGACATAGTTCAGAATCGTCCGCAATAGCACAGGAACATTCAATTTATAATTATAATAATATGATTATTAACAGTTTTATTCCCTTAGTTTACAGATCACGAAATATTCGTATAATCTATTCCTTTCTACTACTACTAATGACACTGTGTTAATACTTCTACTCATGAATCTGCCTTGACCGTTTTATCTCACTGTGATAATGTGGTAAGACACATTGGACTGATGTATATATGTTCGAGACTCTACGTTGCATATGACTGAGACAGCAAAATCAAACTAAATTATACTTCAAAAACAAACTAGAAGTGAGATTATCAGGGATTTCCTAAGAATGAAATATTGATAGCGCGTTTAGTATGTATGATAGGACATCTCTACTTCATTAGTTTTTTTATTTTATTTTAACACATAGATATCGGTACAAGAAGGCACCAAATATATATGCGTCACACAAAATTTCATTTGTGTATGGACTGTGATACTGCTCAGCTGCCCAAACCGAAGCAGGTGGTTTTCTTAGGGGGCCACACCCCGAGCCTTTGATCTAAAGGTTGTCTGATCCTCAAGGCAGTGGAGCATCGTGAGGAGATGCAGTCCCATGATAGCCGGTGACCAACGATTGGTTCATACGCCATTTGTTCCTTCAGGATACTGGAGCCCATGCGCACCATTGGTTTGGGATTCGGTTAAAGCGCCGGACATCTAATTTTCGTCCTCTCATTTCCGTAAACAACACCCGTGATGAGAGAAGGCAGTGAGTAGGACTTTCCTGGCAGAGGCTATATACGCGTGGCTATATGAGGGCATTTCGAGAGGGAGAGCGGACTCCCCACTCTCGGCCGTACCAGGGCATTTAGGGGCACTTCATTAGAGATTTAATCTTTACTGAATTTTCATCGTTAATTAACACTACTCAACTGAAGAAACACTAATACCTATAAGAAGGGCGAGCAGCATTGATCATTACTCCATAACGATCTGGTCGCGTAATTCGAAGATGAAGCCAGGAAGGCAACCATCTATAGTTTGAAAGTTACGTTTCTTATTATTTGATAGTAATTCGAGGGATTATTTTTGGTCAGCGCTATTTAGAAAAGCTCTCTCTGTTGTGAGATGGGTTTGCTAACGCTCATGCCTAATCTTATTCCTTTATCCAGGCTTGGGAACGGCAGTAACTCTAGAAGAGCTTTAGGCTAAGATGCTGCAAGGAAATCAAACTCCATCACAAGACGAGCTCAGACCACGAATCTTTAAGGCGGAAAATAGGCAGATCAAGGAACATATAGCGTTGGAAACTGGAAACAGACATTAAAAGTATGAATAGAACTAAAGAACTACAAAGGAGGGGCTAGGATGGAGCTGATTAGATATCTCTAGTCGGTGCCTATCATCAACGAGGGGCAAGTAAGTAAGAAAACGTGAATCAGCGGCAATGAAGTTGAAATCTAACGGGGAATAATGATATGTATTCAGGTACATCCTACGAAGAGATTTTAAACAAATGGAAGTGAAGGACTGTGAACATCACTATGGGATACCACTAAATGTTATTAAAAAATAATCGACCATTTTATTCTACAGATATTCGATGAAAATATTACAAAATCAAAATAAGCATTGATAGTAACATTTTACAATGGTCACATTATATACCAAAAAAGTCAAAATACTAACCACACTCACCTTTTTAATGCAATCCATAAGATCCCAAGCTTCAGCTAACTGAGGAAGTCGAACAGGGATAGAACGAACTTTATTTAATAATTGTACCGCTTCGGCAAAATTCTCGTGACCTTTGATTAGACTGGTTTTCAGGTCACGGCAGCATTGATTCAACTGAGTGACAGGATCATTCGATGCTGCAGCCTGACGAATACCTGTATTTGTATTAGCAAATATTTAAAAAGTTATAAGGGAAATAACTAACTGATATCAGTATGAAGGGTTTGTGGAGATTATTGAAATCATAACCCAACGATTACTTTTGATAATGTTGCTATATTTTCCGTTACTTTGGGATTTGTCTTGATAATTTTAGATATCCATTAAAAAACCACGAAGCAGTAAACGGCCATTTTGCCCTAGTATCGGTCTATTCCGCAGTGCGTACACACGACCCAACCACAAAGAGTCGAACCCAAAACCTTCAATCTTGTACACAAACGCTTAACTGCTAGATCGTTAACCTGGCATCCAATGGTTTACATGCCTAATTTCGACCAATAATTAATAATATATCTCAAAAAGAACACCGTAACAATTAAAAGATAACAGAAATCAACAGGAGACCCGAGACCAGTACGATAAGAAAGAACTAAACAAGCAGTAGCTAGGCATAAACAATCTCGTGTACATAAGCTCCGAGCGTAAAGAGATCGAAATTGCAACATTGATTACTGTGAAAATTATAACCGGTGAATCCGAAAAGGAATTAAATTGGTGGATGAAAAAATTGCAGACATTCCAGCCTAGAAATCTGAAGATGAATAAATGTAACAGTAGGTTATAGACGCTTAGAGGTTGTCAGCAGAGAAGCCAGAATAGCTCAGCAATGACATCTCAAACTGTGAAGCTGATCAGTTTCCTATGTCAAGTACTGTCTCCAGTTGACTACACCCAACCAACCATATGTCAGATCACTTACACTTGTGACCACATTGCCCCCAAATGCCCTGGTACGGCCTCTCGAAATGCTCTCACATGGCCACGCGTATATAGCCTCTGCCAGGGAAGTCCTACTCACTGCCTTCTCGCATCACGGTTGTTGTTTACTAAATTGAGAGGACGAAGAGCGAATGTCCGGCGCTTTAACCGGGTTGGTGGAAACGGAGAGTCTACCTACGGAAGTTGGAAAACCCTCATTCCAAACTAAAGGTGCACATGGGTTCCAAAATCTTGAAGGAACAAATGGCCTATGAACCAATCGTTGGTCACCGGCTATCATGGGACTGCATCTCCTCACAATGCTCCACTGCCTTGAGGATCAGACCTTTAGGTCAAAGGCTCGGGGTGTGGCCCCCTAAGAAAACCACCTACTTTGGTTTGGGCACTCGGGCAGTATCACAGCCCTCACACAAATCATATGAGATTTGTGTGACGCATATGTATTTGGTGTCCCCTTGAACCGATATTTATGTGTTCAAATAAATAAATAAAGAGTGACCACATCGCAATTTGATCAACAGAGTTCCATCCACACAAAGGGATTAGACAAACATCACATTGGTCACTACTCAGTGGTCAATCAATTGTAAATGTAAACTGCATCAGTTATAGTTTGCAAACTATTTGTTCTTCCTTTATTTCATATCAAGTCTGACATTCAAGCAACATAAATATCATCACGATCTAGCACTCTAATATGTTGTGCGTGTAAGGAACTCTAACTAGGTCTTGAATTAAATAGGTTATTCCTAATTACTCATTCACTGATGTCATCTTTAGACTTCTATCATTTTAGATATTATTTCCCATAATCTGCTGTGTATCTAGTTTATTTCTTCTTACTATGGTAATATGAATTATGGCAACATTATCCACTGATTCAAGCTTATGTCAGGTCTTAAGTGAGATGATTACTGACTGATAAATAATTAAGCAGGATATTAGCATGTTACAGACGTGATTCTTAGGAAAAAACAATAGCTTGTCGCTGATAAATCATCACGTTCGGTAGCAGACCTGATGATGTATAAATCCACGAAATCAGTTAAGTAAATCTCAAGTAATAAATTTGTTAACGATCTAAATATTCAGATGATATTATTACGTGTAAAAAAACAAACAATTTAATTGACATTGCTTGAGTTCTAATAACATCACAACTAGATCTCATATACAAAACAGATATGATTCCCAAAATAGTAAATAGAATCACGTACATATTTAGTTACGATGTAGCTGTTTGTAATTATAGACCTTTAAAGTTAAACTAAGGAATTTTATCAGCTAATTCATAATTTTCATAGTTTAAATCACGAACTGATTTTAGCTAGAACACTAATGATAAATTGGAAGCACTGAATGGTTATTTCGTCCTAGTATCCGACATCTAAGCAATTGGCATCCAAGACCCTGAGACCGACAAATGAACCCAGAGCCTTCAGTCTCACGCCCAAATGTTTAACCCTTAAACCACTGATCCTATATCCAACGATTTAAAATGTCTCACTTTAAATAATTCACAATATTGTCCAACCCTCATCGATTGCCTGTGGTGGATAACTGTTTTACACTCGAAACGGTTGAGCTCCACTAGTCAAGGCTTCCGATTGAAACTCTAGGAGCTGCATCTTGAAGATAGTCACTATTAGTTAGGGAATAATTATTATCAGTACTGATAGATTTATACAGATTGTAGGAATTTCATAGTTTAAATCACGAAGTGGTCTTAGGCAGAATTATCAGTAATTTGAAAAAAATCCAGTTGTCAAGAAAAGTAAGATAAGAACAACCAAAAACACGCAAAAATCAGAGAGATGTATATAGATGCACAAACAACTGATTAGTCACTGAATAATGATGAATGTCACATTTATCGAGTACTTTAGTGTTGTTAATGCAATTCTATCGATCAATTTACAAGGTGACCACAAGTCTAATGGACTCAAAATCACATGCATTATGTTCAGATGTAATGCGACCGTTGAAAGTAGTCGACAGGAAACCCTGGACCTAGGATTCATTCTATTTGGCACTCGTCAGCAAGGTGTACCTGTAATCTTGAAGATGGTACTTCTCGGAGGTTTTGAGCCTATATCACCCAGCTACACAGTCAGAGACGTTACCACTGAGCGATTTGGGCCGTTAATGGTTTCCTGTAGAATTGAGATTTATTTACAGTTAACTGATTCATGAATAGTAGTGACCATTGTCATGTTGATATAGTCGTGTATACCATGATATATTTGGTCATGTTTTTCATATTAACGAAGGGAAATATAATCATGTGTATGATAAAAACTTACCACTTGAATCGTTAGAGATTCTGAAAATTATAAAAAAAGACAGAATTTTTAAAATTACGGACCGCGGACAAAATAAAATTTTAAAAATATACAAATGACCTGGTTGATCTAAAACTGGATTCAATTTTGAGCTATTTTTTCGTAACAATAATAATATCATGTAATGTAAAAGTATTACGCAATAAGAAAGGTCGTATTTTTAGGGATGCGTATACTGCGCGGCAGTTCGTTCTGTTCCACTTTACGGCTGCGAAACGTGGTCATTAAAAGTAGAAGATACTTGTAAGTTGCTAGTATTTGACCACAAATATTGCATGCATCTGCTGGGATCACCGGGTAAGTAATAGTGAGGTTAGACGCAGTGTATTAAGGAATGGTGGTAAATCAGTTGATGGGGTTGTGAATCTTCATCGACTGAGATGGTTGGTCCACGTGTTACGTATGCCTGAACACCGATAGTTTGAAGAGTTAGGGGTGGTCAAACCAAAACGTAGCATCAGAGCTTGGAGTTACTAACTTCTGGTCTGAGCTATGTTTGTAGACGCAGACTACTTAGTTGGGGTCCGCGTGACTATCACAACCAATGGTTGGAGACTCTGCGTCACACGGCTCACAATCGATCATAATGGCGTAGGTGTATACAAACTCTGTCTCCACTTAAACCATGAGATTAAAATCATTTCATATCTTTCTTTCTACGAACTAATTCTTTATTCATGTAATATGTCGTTATATGCAATCTTTCTTTTATATATTACCACCATTAACTTAACCACTCCTATGATTCCGGTGTTTATCTTGCTGCGCTAATGCGGTATGGCAACTTGGACCGATGCATATATGTGCCTTGTCCTACGTTGTAGCTGACTGACTGACTAGCGGTCTCACTACACTTAAAGTACGACAATCGAAACCAAGTACATACATCTGTATTCGATGAATTATAAACAGCATCTACATTCCATATTATGTGAACAAACGCCCCCAAATGCCCTGGTATGGCCGAGAGTGGGGGGAGTCCGCTCCTCCTCTCGAAATGCTCTCACATGGCCACGCGTATACAACCCCTGCCAGGGAAGTCCTACTCACTGCCTTCTCGCATCACGGGTGTTGTTTACAAAAATGAGAGGACGAAAATTAGATGTCTGGCGCTTTAACCGAATCCCAAACCAATGGTGCACATGGGTTCCAAAATCTTGAAGGAACAAATGGCCTATGAACCAATCGTTGGTCACCGGCTATCATGGGACTGCATCTCCTCACAATGCTCCACTGCCTTGAGGATCAGATCTTCAAGTCAAAGGCTCGGGGTGTGGCCCCCTAAGAAAACCACCTGCTTCGGTTTGGGCACTCGGGCAGTATCACAGCTCTCACACAAATCATATGAGATCTGTGTGGCGCATATGTATTTGGTGCCTTCTTGTACCGATATCTATGTGTTAAAATAAATAAAATAAAATAAAATGTGAACAAACTAATGATTTTGAAAACTGAATAAAGCTTGTGTGTATATACTTTATTTTCTAATCATCAGTTATTTATGAAAACTTAAAATAGACAATCAAATCGACTGTTAATTGGAAGTATCTTCTTGAACAAACAGTTGAAAAAGAATAGAAATCAAAGTGAGACTGTAATTTATGAACGACCTTTCAACGACGCCAGACTGACCTTGAGAATGTCCAGCTAATAACCAGAACCAAATGATGGTTAAGATTAAGAACTAGATTTAGGGTTTTCATCTTGAACTAATATCAGCTATTATGCCAAAACTCTTTTTATCCAAATGGATGAATGAATTTGGCGCCAAAATCCAAGACCTGTTATCTTATACCTGATTGATTTGTCCATAAATTATAGTCTCACCGAAATAAATAAATAAACCTGATTAAAGAATTGCTTGAAAATTCAAGAAATTGTTTAAATAAGGCACAACATAATACATTAACACAACTGAAAGAATAGATAATAAATGTTATTTAGTTTCTAACTATTACTGTACAGTGTTAATCTCAAGAAAATACAGGTTATCTTTTAAATCAGAATACAAGTGTCAATTATCTCTAGTTGTAGATGTGATTATTATTATTATTATTATTATTATTATTATTATTATTATTAATAAAATACTCGTATTGAACAATTCACTTCAATGATCTCAACAATCAGAGTATCAAACGGAATTACACTACTTACTCATCAGCCTAAAGTGTCTGAACGTGGCACAGATTGTAAATTATTCAATGAAATATCTATTAATTCTGCTTATTCTATGAACTTTAGTCTACAGGTCTTTGTAACAAAAAAACATGAACATATCACTCAGTTTTACATCATATATATATATATATATATATATATATATATATATATATATACATATATATACAAGCACAAAGTTGATATCTTCTTTTAAAGTTGTCTACTAAATTCCCATCATTGTTTCAAAGTCAGTAGATCCTTACAAACTGGTAACATGCTCTATAAATTCATCTTATTAACAGTGAATATTGAAATGGTTTATTTGCTTTTAGAATTCAACAGCTGTTAATAACTAGTAAGCTAAGAAACAATATGATTTGTTGATAAGTAAATAACAACCAATTAATGAATATAAACAAGTAAGATACACATATGATAGACTGCTGGAACTTATTTTCTCTCTCTCTCTCTCTGAGGATATTTACAAATCATCATTCATTTAGATTATCTAAAACAAGAACCAAGAAGTATTTCACAAAGGAATCTGCATTTAATAAGTGTAATTGATTACACAATAATGATTCACACGTGTATGGTTAAGACTTTTTATAAGTGAATGTTTGATTTAGAGAAGTCTTATGGAACTAAATACACAAATAGAAAAATAAAAAAGCTAGCTGACAATTAAATATGTTAGTTTTATCATCAAACAAGCTATAACTAACTGTGATAATCCATCATAGTAAAATTAAATGTCACTATATCTTTGATAACCATAGAGTTTGTGGAATAAAAATGAGTTGGATGAGGAGTCCAACAATTACTCTGAGATCATACAAAACGACTGAGTTGAATTTAAAATGGTCACTTGGAAGAATATCAAGATAATCAGAGGTGTATTGTGGAGCGAATTTGCTTAGTATTTAAGACATTCAGATTTCAGCCTCCCAGGATCGCAGCCCATTCTATCAACTTCAGTTTTGGAATTTGAGTAGTATCATTGATTTATTCTAAAATGCCTGGTGAGTGATTTAATTATATTATTAATCAATCCTGATAATTTAGTACTCTGGTCAGATATTTAAACTGGAATACACTGATTAACTCATTTCTGATCAACGCTAACGGAGAAATAAAAATGCTAGAAGTATTTATTATTTGCTCTTGATTCTTGATCTGATATCAGAAGAATCAAATTGAATGCAGTATGTCCAAGTGGTGTATACTTGACAATAAAGCAGTATATGAAGGCTATGAATAGTAAGAAGAAAATCAACTACATTTAAAAGGAATTAAGTATCATTATATGAAAGAAAATACTATCAAAACCTTAATTTCTCTTACCTTTTTTCATCCCGTACACTGGTATTTGATGCGGCAGTTGATTTGACTTCTGATTGTTTGCTTTTCACTTTCGAATTATTATTATTATTATTGATGTTAGTTTTTTGATTAGATTTTTGATTTCTCGATTTTCTAGGTCGATTTGATTTGTTTATTGTTGACGGTTTTGGTGAAGAATTTCGACTTTTCTCTTTTAACTGTGAAGATAATTGATCTTTGCTCTTTGAATTCTCTATGTCAGAATCATTTGATAATGATAAAGGTGATGGAGATGATAATGTTGATGATGAGGAATCATGTAGGTTGATTACTTGCTTTTCAGAATTTACTTCATCTTCATCTGAATCAAGCAATATAGCACTAGGTTTTTTTTTACGTAAACGAGAACGATGTTGTTCAGACTTGTTTCGTTTTTTATTATTATTATTACTAGTAGTAGTAGTAGTAGTGACGACGCCATGTTTAGTGACAGCTTCCGGCAGAGGTTCAGGAATAGTTGGTTTTGAATTTTCAAACCCCTCAACTACTAATGAATCAGTAGCTTCAATTACTGCTACTGATTGTTTGACATCTTGTTCATTGTTCGTTTGAGAGTGATGACTATTTGATTTTGACGATAACATAATTTTCATTTCAGGATGACACATTGTGTTTTCGTCATCGACGTCATCATTAACATCATTCTTAATTAATTCTCTTTTAGCTTTTTTCTTCGGAGGAATTTCGCTATTTTCCAATTTAATTGTTCCATTTAATAACTGAGAACTTTCATTATCACTTCCATTCGAATGAAACAACGTTCCTGTACGTTTAATTCCAGTAGAATATTCGTGTTTATCATATTCTAATAGTGTAGTGTTTGAGGAATTCATTTCTTTAGTTAAAAGTTCACCATTAGAAGGAGAGTTATCATTTTTATGAGTTGAAAAAATACTATCATCTTCAGGTTGATGCAGGAATTCTATAAATGAACGAAATTGTATAACACATTACTTAACTGTATTAAATAATACTTTGTATATAAATTTCAAAGTACCCATCATCATAATTACTAATAAAATACATTGAAATATAATATCAACTTCGCCTGGAGTCCCTCCGAGGGCTACTACCGGTCCCAAGCCCGGGTAAAGGAAGTGGGTTGGACATGGGCTTAGCGACCCCATCCCATAGAAAACTAACTCGCTAAAAAAACGCTAACCAGAGAAAATTATCCAAAAAGTAATATAATATCACATATAGAACAAAATAATACAAATGAAATATATAATTATGATACTAAACCGTTTGATTAATCAATAGAAATGAATGAATAGAAAAATAGTTTTTCACAATATTACAAAGTAATGAGCATAAGACGGTTAACTAGATGCTGTAGAAAAGTAATCAATATATACCATTTCTTTGATTCAGGTAATATCAGCTTATTCTAGTTTGAGGATCTATGGAGCAGTGTAGCTCTATATGGTTAAGGTGTATGACATTAAGTTAAAAATTTACAGGTCCGAATACCGTCTCACTTAATTTGGATTGGACAGCCAAGTGAAATCACTAGTCATCACACTTAGACTGCGGTTCTAAACAAATCACATGCATTTTATCTCACTTCTAACGCATCGGCCAAATCCTAGTTCTGATGTTCACTCTGAGACTTAAACCGATTGCCTTTTACTTCATATTCAAATGCGCTACACATCCAACTAGAGTCTAGATAGGTAAGCCCTCATAACTGAATTTACCACCGTTGCTCAAGCCAGAGGCGGGGATGTGGTATGCAAATTCAACTGAAGATTGCCATACAGGACGAAACGCGTGTTCTAGATTCTACCACTAGCTACTATTAAGTTCTGCTTAGAAATCCTTGAGACTGATTGCAATATCGATGCAATCCGCCCAGGATACATGAATGCCAAGAGACTGGTCAATTTTAGTCCTTATCCCCAACAACAGCGAAATTCAAAGCATTACAACTAAAAGTTATGAGATAAGTGGTTTAAGAATCCCAATAAGTGATGGGTTACACAGTCATATAGACTAGAATTTTTTAATAATTTAGGCATGTATATCTCGTTTATTAGCTATACTACTGATTAAAAATGTCAGTAGTCTGGCGACTGATCGTCAAAACCTTATAGTCAGGATCACATGCCCATTAAATTGAGCTAGTTTCACTTCACTTTTATTTCATAAATATGCTGTCGTTGAAGTATTAACGTTCGATACTTAATCGGCTCCTTGGAATATCTTTAGCTAGTTTAAGGTACTTTATCAGATAAAATCTTCCACAATTGCAGTATGAAAAAAAACAAAGTAGGTAGACGAAAGGCAATGTGATTTTGCATATAAAAGTTGGAACTTCGTGTGGTTGGTGGAAGAATGAAGTTAGTTATTTTCATTTCCTCACATGCATAAACTTTTAAGAAATAGGGTGCCAAAAGTGTGCCATATGAGCGTTAATATTGCGAAGAATTCAAGGAGAAGACAGTAGGACCAATATATAAAAGGGTTGAAATGATATGCAATGAAAGGTTATAATATAGTTAAATGTACAGCCTTTAAGACCTTGTCGCATCTAAGAAAGCCCGTTTACCTTATGTGAAGAGCGTCATAAAAAATTAGTGCACAAACATTAATGTCTTCTATTTTGACTCAAGTTTGATAACGCCTCAAGCGAATGAATTGAACCACTTTTGAGACAACAGGTTGAATCTATACATACCAGGCCTAAGCAACCATCTTTCAAATCATGAGGCCATATCCTGAATTGACTACTCTTCTACTTTTTAAACTTAGTCTCATAATAAGCAAATGATGCATGACGCATAATTAGCTTGGACGATACTCGTAAGATATGACAGTTACTGAGACCGGTGTTTCAAAATCCCAACTGTAAATGGATTATCATCCTAGGTTAGAGACCTTGAATGACATGGCTGAAAATCGTTTGCAATGGCACAGGTGCATCCACTCTTCACGTTCTCCCAAATTCTAATCTTCTGAATTCTTCATATCACTTTTTTTGTCTTTCCAAATTTATTTCATTGGATTATACTCTTCAAACCTTAATCTTTCCGATTACTGCTTATACTCTTACTACCTCTACCACTATGGGATTTGAATCGACAACTGCATCTCTGTGCTAATGTGGTATGGCAACTCGAACTGATGTACGTACGTAAGTATGTATGTACGAAGTTCTACGTTGTTACTAACTGACTGACATATACAGAATAGTAATCAAATTACAAGTAGGCATTCATTTATCATAGAAATATATATACACTGAGAAGAAAGCAAATGAATTTGAAACTATAATGAATTCCAAAGAAAAAAATGAAGATAATTATTTCAACAATTAGAAAAAAGTATAGAAATTGCGAGACTAGGTCAGATTAACACAATCAGTGTATGAATAGGCTCAAATTGTCATACGATAATAGCTATGCAAGATGAATAAACACAAATAATTGCAGCAATAATAATTAATGAGAAAGATTAAACATTGAGAATATAGTGGAAATATATAAAATGAAAAGGTATGTATACAAGAGTTATAGGGTTCAAAATCGAAAGTAAATGAATCTGCGTCGTTGTGATAGACTATGAATTATGTTTGATGTACAAAGCAATGAATTAATTGATTAGGAATACTGACTAGAATGTGAAATTGATCGTCGATGAGTGATGTGTGGGCGAGAATGATCATGATTGGTTGTCTGCTTAGTCAGACACATGTAGACAGTCTCACAGGTGTCAGATAAGTTATATATTCCCTTATCCTTATCATTGTGACTTATATACATATTCATACACTCATTATTGATTGTTCATTGTTGTGGATTGTGTCGGTTTTGGGTGTGAAAATATATTCACGTTCTGGTCAGGCTGATTACGTGTTCTTGATCTGAGTTGTGTTGAAGTCATGTAGAATAGACACTAGGAGGGATGTAGTGTAGATAATCGTTTAAGCGTTACAACATTAGACGAAGTAATACCGAGCATTATAACAATGAGATGTGGCCATATTTTGAAGAATAATTTAATTATATCCCGTTTGGTTATAGATACTTAATTGTATGATTTTGTAAATGTATATAAACAATAAGTTATTGAGTAATCGATGTTAAGTACTACTCCGTTCAATTTATTTGATTGTATAGAAACCATTTAAAAAATACTATACTTATAAATCACTGTGATTTATTTCCATAGTTAAATAAATCCAAAACTATAGTCTTTGTGTTTTCTCTGTGCGTCGTCGAATTTGGGGTTTTCAGTGCCAAGTGAGGCAGTTCCGTGGACATAACAATCGGCAAACGCAAACATTCAATTAGTGACAGCGTACAGTGTGGTACATATATGTACATCGGTTCACGTTATCATACACCACTAGCACACAAAGATGAAATTGTCATACCGAATTCCAGAATAGTAAAGGTAGTAATAGTAAAAAAAGATTGACCATTTAAAATACGATTTAAGAAAACAATCTAAATGATACAACAATGTCACAAAATATCTTCAGTCATCATTTGGTGACATGATTTGAAATGGATTAAGAATGCAAAAATAAATATAGAATACCTAATTACCTTAATTATTTTTATTAAAAATCCTATACCATCTATACAAACCGAATATTGGTGAACATTGCAGAAACTGCTTTATTGACTTATTAATAAAAAATAATAATGTCAGCTAAGTATGGGGGGGGTGCCTCAAGTATATTAAATGAATAGATAAAAATACTTGGAAATATCTGTTAAATAAGCAAACAATTATCATCTATGAACTATGAATGAAATTGGTTACAGTGAAAGAGTGAATATATCTACATTTTTAATCATTTACAAGATTTTAAATAGCATATTATACTTCACTTGGTATTATTTTACTTGTGAAACCTGGCCTCTCCGAGTTGAGGATGTTAGACGACTGTCTGTGTTTGATCATCGTTGTCTCCGAAGGATTGTTGATATCCAGTGGCAACACCATGTTAGTAATGTGGAGGTTCGGCATCGTGTGTTCGGGCACAGAGACGACAATCCAATTGGTGTCACCATCTTCGGTGGCTTGAACATGTCCTACGAATGTCGTCCAGAGAATTCCACGTCGTGCATAATTTGCCGACTCTGGGACTGGTTGGAAAAAACGGAGTGGTGGTCAGTATATGACATGGTGTCGTGGTATGAAAGGAAGCTGCAAAGGGCTGGCTTCTGTTGGTCCTTCACGACTCCCTGGCTGGGGTCCGAGAGATGGTGCAACACATTGGCTAGAGACGTTATCAGATATGGTTCAGAATAGAAACTAGTGGCGATCCTGCTGTAATCTTCTTTCACTTTCTTTATAAAAAGTGGTTGCTTCTTCCTTAACTGAAAGATTTCTTCTGATTGTACCTTTCCGTTTCCCCCATTATTATTATTATTACACTACCTTACACTAATTTGATCGTTCTTGTTCTTTTTTTTCTTTTACGCTCCTTACCCATTCTCATTGTTTTGTGTGGCGCATATATATTTGGTGCCCTCTTGTACCAATATTTATATGTTCAAATAAGTAAATAAAAAATAAATTGAGGTTTAAGACTGCAATTGATCATTCTGTTATTGGCATATGTGTATACTGTGCGTATGCCTCGATATTGTCCCAGAGTGAACATCAACTCTGAGATGCAAGTACATCCATCTGACGAGTACTAAATAGGACGAAACGCGCGTCCTGGATTCCACTGCTAACCACTATCCATCTTTGCTTATAAAAGCATACTATACTACTCAATATTTATTGAATCTTTCTTTTAATTGGATTTCTTGTTATATTTCGTTAATATTGTATACTTCATTAGTTACGATCCTTTGAATTTATTTTTTCTCATTCTGTGAAATATGATGATTTGTACGAATGTAAAATTGCATTGTCTTGTGTTGATATTACTGCTTTTTAACCCTCTTTATCATAGATTGGTAAATAAAGAACATTTTGCGGTGAATTAACTTTCAGATGAAGAGGAAATTAGGAAAAGACTGGGGGTGGATGGGAAACACATTACGGAAATCGTCAACTGCATCACGAGGCAAGCCGTAACTTGAAATCAAGGTGAAAAGTAAAAAGGTAGATTAAAGAACACATTGTGTCGGGAACTGAAGACAGGCATCGCGAGAATAAATAGAACTTGGGAACAACTGGGAGGAAGAGCCCAAAAATAGTGTTGGTTAGAAGGTTCTGATCGGCGGTCTAAACTTCATGAGGAGTACTTTGAGTTGTACACGAATTTCATAAAAAAGGACTACAATTTTGATCGATGAACTGAAAGATTCTATGAACCTACGGTTTTCCATAAATGTGATCAACAGTTTGTATAAGTGATAGTCTTAACTAAGATTGGACATTTTTTCATTAAGTATCTAACCTACGAAAAAGAGTTTACTTGTAGTTTACAATGTCAACGTAGATTTAAATTTGGCAAACAATATCTATATCTATCATCAGGCATAGTAGTCTCAAGTTAACTATTGCAATTAGAATCCATACGATTAATGAAAAGCTAGTATAATGTAGATGAATTCGTATCTATCATTAAAAGTGTTTATCAAATAAACTTTCAAACAAACAAACAAACCATTAAGCTTTACTTATATCTATATAAGCTTAAAATGAATGTATGGAGAAGTAGTTCAATAGCAAATTTACAAGCTTAAAACAAAAGGATTGCATAGAACTTACGAAGCGGGCTGGCACATCTGTCGTCTAAGGTAGGCAGGATGGGTTTGTTGGAACTAGAATCGGTAGAATCTTCATTACTGTGAACAGGCTCAGAATGAGAAGCAGGAGACCAATGATTATCATCATCCCATGCATGATTACTAGAGCTCTCTTGATTAACGTCAGGATTTCTCACATTCGATTCTTGAACATCAAAATGTAAACTTTCTTGTTCTGTTAAACGACATTTTTCCAGTTTATGAAGACGTTTCAGTTCACGTTTAGCTTCTCGTCGAGCGCGCCTTTCAGCTCGTTTCTCTTTTGCTAATCGTTTCGCTTCTCGTTTAGCAGCCTTCTTTAAAGCTTTCTTCTCAGCTTTTTTCTGCATTTTACGAGCAAGTCGACGAGCTTCTCTATTCTCTTGATAAGAATCTTTTTCATCAGATGGACGACCGATTGTTGAACTGGGGCTAAGCCTCTCCGAACAACTTATATCCATTTGTTGATAATTATTAAACTGTATGTGATGATTTGTATTATCTATCAATGTCTCTTCATCATTACTATCTTCAGGAGCTGGGTCTAAGCTATTGACTCTCGATTGATCTGTACTTATTTCACTCGATGTATCATCACTGACACGATTTCTTTGATCACCACTACTTGCCCCTTGATTAGTAGTAGTAAATGGTTGATCATTGTCAACTTTTGACTTCCTAATCACCCAAATCAAGTAAGAATGAAATATTCAAATTATCAAATAAATACTTGATTATATAACATTACAATTTATTTGATAAAATTCAGTTTTTATGAAGACTGATATTTGTACATACTTTAAGTTCAGTAACATATGCCATTAGGTACTTGGTGATAAATAACTGTGTTAGTGAAAACGAACTAAAGAATAATGCTATTTTCATCACAAATATTTTAGGTACGAAAACGAAACTAAAATGTCCGAATTCTTTGACCATATCAATACTTATAATAAATTGCGGAAATAGTTAACATACTGAAAATATCAGTCAAGATTGAACATTAAGGAAATTAAATGTAGGAATGATTAATAGCAATGATCAAAATCCCATAGCTTAAACATGCCTAACATTTGCCTAGATCATGTTTCATAGCCATGGAGTAAGTACTAAAAAGTGGAATATTGTGTGGTAATATCGGGTCTTTGAATAAGCAGATGAAAATCTCTCCTGCAGTAACGTTTTACACTTGGAGGATGAAAAACAAATACTGAACATGCTTTCACTGTTGTACAAGGTGATCAGAACAATCTGCATTTGGTTCAAATTATCAGACTAATTTTTGTAGTACACAGATTAATCTTCAAGTAAAACGAAGAAAATGTTAATCCTAAAAGAATGTTTTTGATGAAGCCAAATAAAAATAGACAATGAGTCATCCTGGATGTCACCTATTCCGATGACAGTTTTTCGAATGGATTCAAGTAGAGAGCCATTACAAGGTTTATGCATTATTCCCATAGATCTCATGACAAACACTACTACAAAACTTCCCGATCTACGGGGTCAAGAAGTATTACTACAGTCCGTATATTTGTCTACCATAACCTATCGAAGAGTAAATATTTGATCACGTCCAGGTTTGAAACCCGATTTGACTTCCTGATTTTTGTTTTCGAGCTCCATTCAGACATCGAATGATTAGAGTGGACAGTATTTTAGACACTATACCAGTTAATTCGATTCCTCTGTTGCTGTTCCACGAGATTAATAAAATTGATAGCAGTTCCACCTCAGACATCAAATTTTCTGCTTTTGATGTTACAGCATTAAACCTAACCCGGATGGCAGGCATGGTACAATCTAAAGGAACGAACGTTTCAACCAATATAGGTTGATTAGATCGTTACGACAGGCAGGCCCGACCACGACGTCAAGAAGCAGCTACCGCAGAGCGATTCAGGACACAGATATTTCCAATACAGCATATTACATCGGTTTATTGCGGAATTAAAGCCTTTAGAAACAATATTATTTTTAATCTAAATTACTTTAGTTACTATGTAATGCCCCAACCATCTCAGGAGGCAAGTTTTATTTATTATGTACAATATAAAGACATTATCTTGTATTTGCGACCAAACTAGTTAGAACTGGGTTGAAACCTCTGGACTGAGAATGAGCCGAGTACCTACACTTACTAAGCTTCTCTTGTTAAATTCAAGAAACTAACGTATTTTAAAATTAATATACTGAAAATTACCTGGAATATTGACGTTTGTATTGGCGAACACATTCACTGCCCACTTAAATGAAAATTAAAAAACCAGTTTTTAAAAAATATAAGTTCTATGAATGACCAATCAACTGAATGATACATAATATGAGTGAAAAAATGGACATTTTTAATTTGATGAAACTCACTAATAAAATACAGGTTTCTATACTCGGTATTTAGTGGCATTTTTAGTTAGAACCCGTGATATTAATCGACTATTTAAACCAAGTAAGGGAAGTGATGTTCGAACCCGTTGTCTGAACGTTGGAAGTTAAATACTTTTATCGTTAAACTTCATAAACTGAGGGATTTCATACAGATTACATGCTGTTTTAAGACATGGTATGTGAGGGGCGGAAGTGTAAACAGGCTATTGTGATTAAATGAATGAAAAATGATCAATATCACCATCTTTGTCCCTGTCTGGATCAGGCAATATATATACCTATGAGTTGTGTACGTTGTTGACCCTTTAGCACGAATTTCCTTATGTATTCCTAGTCCTCTTTTTACGGATGGTTGCTAAGCAAAAGTAGGGAAAGTTATTGTAAGTGAATCATACCAGTAGAGAAAAATTAAATCACTGTGCAGTAACAACTACTGCAGCCAATATATGTTGGTTGGGGATCTATTATAGCATTCATCACGTCGAGGTGGGGGATACGGCCACCAGCCATACATACGAATTACTTTTGGAAAGTCATTTCCAGTCTGATAAACAAGTGTTGTGAACTTGTAGTACACCTCACACTGTTGCTTGGGCGATATTAGAACTGATTATGAACCACACTATAAACTTCCTTACAGCTTTACACACAATATATATGAAATTTTAGTCCTAATCTCGAGAACAATTACAACCAGGACTAGACAATACGCCTGAATGCATCAACACCATACCCATTTACAATAGCAAGATTGATAATCCGATTTATACACTATGAAGATCAATAATGTATTATCAGTGGTACTAGATTGAGTAACTAATGGGATTAAGAGTGCATCATCAGTCACATCCAAATGAATCATATATGAATGGAATGAACTTGAGGTATTCAGCTATCAAAACTTGAATAAATGCCGTTTCTTAAGTGTATAGGACTATAAATAGTGAGCAACCGATGCCATTGAGAACTACTGCTTGCTACAATTAGGGAAGATAGTTCGGGTCTCAAAAGGTTTGAAGATATCAGGACAGTACACTAACACAAGAAGTTTAATTTAGTGTGCGCTGTACACCGAGAATTGGTAAAGAACTTATGTACACATAAAATCTCCCAAACACCACCGTTCTTACTATCAAGTGGAAGTATCACCTGGTTTCGTAAATGCAGGCTGAAATGTAAACGGCAAGATATTGAATTATTTGTAGTATACTACAGTCTAGAATTTGTAGTAGATGACTTCCTAAGCAAACTTAATTTCTGGTGTAATAGGGGTGAAAGCCTTATGTTTGGCGACTTCAAAGCATCGTATATAAACTGGGGAAACTTAGAGGTGGGACCACCAACAATAACACTTGATTGCGAATTGTTAGAAACCACAATCTCTCTAGCTTTATTCCAGCACATTAGAGATTCACCAGACACGACTTACGAAGCTCCTCGTCTTTCTTGGATTTAGTCTTCACACACGGTGATGACGTCGGTTGAATGACTTTCCTCCCACCTCTAGGAAGAAGTGATCATGCAGTCATCTTATCTAAGTTTGTGGCTGAGATGGCCTGCCAAACAGTTGCAACGGCCTGTCCTAACATATGGAGAGCGGACATGAAGACGATCAACTCTGTAGCATCGGCTGAAAAATGGATAATTGACTCAGGGGCATCAGTAGAAGAGGCATGGACTCATTTCAGGCATTTATACAATCAGGTAACTTAACCACATATTCCCTGGATAGTCCCAAAGAAGAAGCACGGTTATCCCTAAATAGGCCGGGATATCCGATGTTTACTAAGACAAAAGAAATGTTGAGACATCGCCATCAGTCTTGTCATAGCAAGTACGATGGGACGCTACAGGTCAATACGAAATAGGAGTATAGTTACAATCTGAGAAGCTCAGTGAAAACATGAAATGCAGTTAGCCCAATCTGTAGTCAAGCAACCTAAAACTCTTTTCGTACATAAATTACAGAACAAGGACGTGACATTGGATTCCTAACTTAATTACGGAAGGGGTGGATCTGAAATGATAGAGGACGATCAAGAAATAAAAAAGGTTATGACAAACTATTTCGAGGCAGTTTTTACTCAGGAGCCTCTTCTAGACGAAGAACTAGTCAACAAACCGTCTGGTTGCCATGAACCTTGATCGAAACGATGTACTTAAGGCTCTTGAAACTTTAGACACGGAAAAGTCAGCAGGACCGGATGAACTACACCAAAAAATCTTGAGACTAATTGCACAATATATTGCAGTCCCGATAACTTTGACATTAAATATGTCACTTGGCCAAGATGAGTTACCTATGAACTGGCAGGATGCAGTGGTCACTCCAATATATAAGACAGGATCAAGACAACTTCCACCAAATTACAGACCTGTCAGCCTGATGAGTGTTGAAGTTAAAATACCGGAAAGAATTATAGAAAAGACCATAATGACATTCGTAAAAACCAACGTGTTAAACAGTGAACAACACGGTTTCGGAAATGGTTTATCTACCTAATATAACCTTTTCCTTCCCACCAGATCGGGACATTTCAGAGGACACAGCAGGCGAGTGGAAAAGCTACGATCGAACAAAGTACCCGTGGTATACAGGTTTCTGCACCGAGTCAACGATACTCGAAACCTGTTATTTATTTTATTTGAACACAAATACTGGTAAAAGGAGGCACCAGGTACATATGCGCCACAAAAATCTCGATTGGAACCTGTAACCTGAAGCAGTGGTGCCCACAACTTCAATTGACTCGTCAAAGAAAAGACTAGATACACAGAAACATATTAGGGAAGGAATAACGTAGGTAGTCTATCCTTACTACACAAACCTGAATCTGAAAATAAATGTCTTTCCTTAAATAATCTTGATACATTTTGCTAACGATTCCCAGTCTAACGAATCAGATCACATGAAGTGACTTCGGTGACACCATACTTTATGGGTGACCAAGGAACGATGCCAGTGGTCTTTAAATAATTCGCCTGTTTACTATGGTTAAGAACTGTAAATTGAGAAATTACGACTAGGATTCAGCGTTAAGTTACGGTCAAGTTATGTATTGACACCAATAATAAAGCTAAAATGCTATTTAACCACATAGATGAAGGAACTTTGTGCTAAAATCCATGATTTGCCATCCTTAATTTCATTGGCTTGTTCATAAATTGTAGTCTCACCATGATATCTGCCACTTGGAGTGAATCATGTTATCAGAAACAAACGAGATAATTTACTATACGTAACAACAGGACCACAGGCCCCCTTTAAAAATATTGTCTGTCTCTATGTAAATTATTGTAATCATTTGGACATATACATAATTAATACTATTTTAGTCTACCTACAATGTAGTTTCCTGTCGCTAGTTTAGGGCCAAAAGTTTTGTGAAGGCTCATGACACTACTTAGCTGGCCAAACCGAATAATGCTAACCAGTACGAATCTGAGGTCCGCAGATGAACTTATCTCAAGCAAGAATTCGAGACACCAATAAACTGACCATGTCAACACGAGGGAAATCTTTGTCAAAACCTAGTACGTTGTGAGATCAGAGCAATTTCGGGATTTAGCTTAGAATAAAACGTTCTATCACGAGATTACTGAATAAATTATGTCTATTTGACTAAAAACAGCAAAAAAGCTACTTACTTGGTTTGAAGTCATAAAATTGAAGGAGAAACTCCTCAGCTCTAGGATCCTAGGTAGGTTTTAGTCTAACAAAAATTATATTACCTCTCCCAACATATAGATGCCTGGATTAGCTTCGATTTCTTTCATAGCTGTCATGAACTGTGCGCTTGGCTTTGGCTTTCCCCACTTCTCTTTGAACTTCTCGTAAGGAACAATATTTTTGACGGAAACAAATGAACTGCATAAGGTCAAGACAAAACTCAACAAGCTTACACTTGATAAGTTCCGTAGAAAAATATAGGAAGTTTTCCCTTGGGTATTTGTACATCATGTGGAAGGGGATTAACCTACAAATATATTAGGATTATCATCAAAATACCCTAGCAGGCCAGTTAGGGAATCCTTTTATCTTAGCGAAAACTTTGTCGCCTGGGGAATGAGACATTGATTCTTCCCAGAGTAAGTCCCAGTAAATAAGCAAAGATACGCCGAGTCCCGAATCACCGCGCTTACGTCGCGATTGATTCTAACAAGTATTTATCGCCAGCTAATGTTTTAGTCTCTTGAATCCCTTTGAGAAATATATAAGACTTTCGTGCACAGAATAATTATGACTTCTAAGTTCATTTTTGATTGAAATACTAATGAATGATGATGTAGAATGTCAAAAATATGGCTAATTTAACTTTGGATGCTTGTGGAATAAACACATTATAACGACGTAAAAATAAAAAAATCAAACAAGAGTCGCGTTAAGGACAAGTATATTTCAGGGCTTAATGTGATCTGGGAAACTGGACGAGTGAATGTAGAGAATGAAATATCCAGACTAGAGTTCAAATGGTTGCGGACGGAATAGAAGAAGCTTTCGCTTAACAGGCTTCCGTGTCTAGTAGCAGTGGATCACCAATACTTCCAGGCAAGAACCTAGGTATATTAACGATAAAAGAGAAAGAAAATGAATTGGTAAATCATAGTAGGATACTATCCTTAGTCCTTAAGAATAGATCAAGTCGCCTCTTAAAGGACTCCTGGGAAGTTGCTTGGACTAGCTCAGCTGGCAGCGAGTTCCAGCATTTGACAACTCTTAAGGAGTAGAAATTGTGTCTGCAGTCCGTTCTACTATGTTGTATCTCCAGTTTTTGGGTGTTACCCCTTAGGTTAGTGTTGGGACTAAGCTTAAGTAGGTGTTTAAGAGGGTGTCCAGGTGTGTTAAGGATACTGTAAGCCATTAGAAGGTCACCTCTAAGACGCCTATACTCTAATGGGTAAAGGTCGAGTGATTGGAGGCGCTCATCGTAAGGTTTAAATTTGAGTCCCCGAACTGATTTCGTGGCTCGCCGTTGGATACGCTCCAGAGTGTCCTTATCCTTTTGGAGTGTAGGAGGGAATACTATGTTCCCGTACTCTAAATGGGGACAAATGAAACTATTGAAGATTATGTGGAAAGTTCTCCCGTCAAACTGACCAAAAATGCGCTTCAATGTTACCAGTGCAAGGTTTGCTCTAAAGGCATTTTTGTCACAGTTGGCGTAAGACTTTAAGTCGTAGGGCACCAGAAATCCTAAATCTTTTTCGACTCGGGATACTACTAGAGAGGAGTTTCCTAAGTTGTAACTGTAATCTGAGACGTGTCGCAGATGGACTACTTTACACTTTGAAGTGTTAAAGGTAAGTCCGTTATCATCTGCCCAACTTTGAAGTCGAGTCAGATCCTCCTGAAGTGCCTGTATGTCCTCTTGGTTGCGTATCTCTCTCCAAAGTTTTACTTCATCGGCAAAAAGTAATACGTCTGGCGTTACCTGTTGAGGAAGATCATTTATATAAATCAAGAAGAGAAGAGGTCCTAGTACTGAGCCCTGGGGGACCCTACTAGGACATTCCATAGCGCGTGAGAAATTGAAGTTTACCCTGACCTTAAAATGTCGATTTGTGAGGTATGAACTGAGCCAGTCAATTAAAGGTGGTTTGATTCCCAATTGTTTGAGCTTGTTAATAAGACATGTGTGGTTAACCCTATCGAAAGCTTTAGAGAAATCAAGGTAAATGATGTCTACCTTTCCCTTGCGATCGAGTATGCTTGTCCATCTGTGCACCGCAGTCAGCAGGTTCGTCATACAGGAATAACCCTTCCTGAAACCATGCTGCTGGGGTGAGAAGAAATTTAAGGACAGCAGATAGTCATGTATATCATCGTATACCAGGGACTCCATGATCTTTGAAGGTATAGAGAGAAGGGCCACCGGTCGGTAACTTGAAGGTTCACTGCGTCGACCTCCTTTGAAGATTGGTGTGATATGAGCCAGCTTCCAAATATCCGGTAGTTTGCCCCGACTTAGCGGTGTTGCCAGGATTAAAGCTGCTTCCCTCAGTATAGCAGAGTGGACCATATCTGGACCAGGAGAAGTGTCTGTTCTTAGGTGTTGTAGTTTACGGTACACCAAGTCGGCGCTCAGTTTCACTACGGAAAGTCCTGTGCAGTTGCAGACAGAGCCGACATCAGTATAGTTGATGTGGGTCGGCTGAAATGTCCGGGAGTAGTGCTCAGCCAGAAGGTTAGCGGCGTCACCGTCATTATCTGTCGGGCCGTTAGGACCTAGCAGTTGAGAAACTCCAGTTTTGGCTTGACGAAGAGAGGCCGCATAACGGAATAAGCTTTTCGGATTGGAAATAAATTTATCCATAAGCTTTAACTGGTACTGAAGCCTGTCTTCTCTTATAGCCTTCGTGCATATGTTCCTTATATGTTTGTATTGCCTGTACTCGCCGTTGTTGTCGGTTCGTTTGTATTCTGCCCAACAATGCCTTTTACGGCTCAATAAACGAAGAGTGTGGTTTTTGATTATTGTAGGTTGGATATGGATTTTTGTGGAGCGTTTGAGGGACTGACTGCTTTGTGGTACATAAGAGCGTGTGCAGTAAAAGTCCCAATGAGCATCCACATCAAGTTGAGGGTGAACATCCCAATCCACCTGTCGTAGATAGTCCTGTAGAGCTGACGCATTCAACCGTTTGAAATTCCAGCGCCTGTTGTTGTTGGGATATCTTAGCTCAGTTTTTCTGACGAAACTGAAGGTTATAACGACGTGATCACTTTTCCCAAGGGGAGCCAGATTTGAGAGGTTGTCGACTAAAAATTCTTCATTTGTAAAACACAGTCTAAGCGCGACGGTGTCTGACTGTTCCTCCAACGAGTGTGCGACTTCACATTTTCGTGTAGTCCCAAGTCCTCAATAAGGTTGAAGAACCGAGCTTCAATTGAATTTTCACCTCCAGTATACGTATGTTCCGCGAAGTTGACTCTAGGAAGATTGAAGTCCCCTAGGATCAGGATATGAGTGAAGCCGAGACGCGTAGAGCGTGATAGTCCCTCCAGCATGCGACTGTCATACTCGATGTCGGCAGTGGGCTTCCTATATATGACTCCGACTAGGCACCTCGAAGTAGTGGACAATCTCATAGAGCACCATATGGATTCCTCAAGATTGTCAAACTCGTGGTTGTGGATTTGATGTACCACCAGGCCAGATCTTATGTATAGGGCTACTCCACCCCCAATTCCTGTTTTTCTGTCATTGCGAAACAGAGCCATCCCAGGTATTGCTAGCTCCTGGTCCGAATACTGAGGAGATATCCAAGTTTCAGATATTCCTATCAGATGAACTTTATTAGCATTGCTAAGTTCACTTAGTTCATCCATTTTATTTGGTAGACTCGCGGCGTTCATGTATAAGCAGTTAATGCTTTCAATTTGAAACGCGTGAGCTTCTTCCTGTTTATCTGTGAGAGCCTTGCGTGAGTGGACAGGTAACCCACCTATATAAGTTTTGTCAAATTGGTAGGCCCTGTCCTTTACACGTTTTTTTTTGTCTTGAAGACAGTCCACAAGTGGAATGGTCAGTTCCAGCTTGCCTTTGTGCTTGATCCTGGCGTCGTATGGCCTATCCGGGTGCATATGGATCCCAGTTGGCAACCGACGTCTGTTGACACGAAATGCTTTCAGAGCTGCAGCCGCCATATGGGAGGATGTAAAAGTTATCCTCATTAGTCGGGGTCTAGGATCCCCATCCTTCTTGGCTAGTCTCATCACATGCTTAGACAGTATGTTTTTAAGCCTCTAGGACTGTTTGATGAATTTCCATTCCCGAATGTCAGAGTTTGCTTGAGTAGGGTCCATGTTTTCCGGTACACCTTGCACGATGATATTTCTTCCGCGGAAAAACTTCTCTCGAGTTTCTTCAGGGATGTTCCGGATGAGATTGAGTTCAGAATACGGTATGTCGAGCAGTATTCTTACGTTCCCATCGGATTTCAGTAAATGACTAGCTAGCAGGACATTCTCTTCATCGGTAGCATTCTTAAGTGTTACAAAAAGTAGCCTCGATTGGTTTCAATGCTTAGATTCCTTTCTCCGAGTGAGCCGTGTGACCGTCAAAGGCTCTATTCTAGGGAGTTCGAGCTTTTTGTTCAATTCACCCCGGAGTATCCTGTCACTTTTGTCCTGCAAACTGAGAGGAAGGTCAGGGTTGTCTTTGAGGTTCACGATTATGAGAGATTCATCACGGACCGTTATTGTTTTTCCAGGTTTTCCGGTGCGTTCAGGTTCAGCACGTTGTTTGGAGGTCGAAGCAGATTCTGAATCCTGGGCTTTTTTATAACCGGGCGGACATTTTTTGGGGTAGATTGAGCGATCAAATCACCAGTTGATTTCCGTACAACACTTGGGATGTTTACCTTAGACAGTGACGCCTCGTCCTTTTTAGCTCTGTTAACGTGGGCCCAATCACCTGCAGAGTTTTGGGGAACCACTTTTGCATTTAAGGACCCTGAGTTGGGAGACTCGAGTTTACTGAGGTAGTCTATTACTGTCAACGTAATGATGGTGCTGAGTTTCAACATGTCATCATTAGAGCTAATGCATGCTCCATCGATGGTAGACTTATCGACATCCCCATTCTTGTTTTCATTGCGTGCTCTTGTTTGACTACTTGTTTTATTACTGTCTTTATCCAAGTTTGCTGACAACTTATTCCGTAGACCTGTCAATAGGACAATGATGTTACTCAACAATACTACAGCATCCGTGCTGCACGTAACACATACCCACTTATGATCCGACTTGCTGAGTCTGTTGTAAGCAGTTGCCGTGAGATCTGTGCACACTTCCAGGGACCAACCTTTGCAGTTGTCGCACTGCATGCCAGATGTAGCAGCAAAACGGCATCCAGGTCATTTGCATGAGTTTTTCATGACTGTATTGACATAAACTGTATTATAGATGCTAGAAAAAGCCTAGGACCGTTAAAAATACACGAAAAACAGGAAAATGAATAAAAACGGATGAGATAAACTGAACTATCCTTTACGTGAAAAACTGAAAAAACCGAATAGTAAGATGAGGCAAAACCACAGTTAACTATTAAATTGATTGAAACTCAAAAAAAG